CCTCTCCAGGTGGATCTTGAATTGTTCCCTGTGTTCTTTTCCTCATCCTGAATAAAAAAGGTAATGAAGAAAAAGCCTGTACTTTTGGAGACCTAGAATCTTACTTATGCTAATAAGCTTTTGACTGCAATTTCGTGGTAGTGGTTGCTAACTTTTTAAAGAAATGTACTGCAAAATTTTTAAAAGTAAGATGCAGACACAATTGGAAGTGTGCTATAGCAGATCAAAAAAAGTTTTTACATATGCATCTAGAAGAAAAACAGTTTGTCTCTGGATTTTAGCTATATCCATCACACATATTTGCTGGTCATTCTCAATTATACCTTCCTCAGATAAGAGCTTTAATGTGAACATAGATGATATAATTGCTGGATATGCCTGCAATTTTTAATTTGGTACCAAAATGAGAAATCCACAAGACATGTTGTTGGTAGGCAATTCAAATTAACCTAAGATTTTTCAGAACATTTATATCTTCAAAATCAATAGCGAAATCTGCTTTGTGGTCTAACTTTCCGAAACTCAAAGTGTGGCCTGTGGTATGGCCACATGTGCAACCCTTGAGAGGCACTAGGCTCGCTCACAATTTCTGAGTCACTTTGGATCATGGAGCTACACTCCTATGATCCATAAACCCTATTTTGAATATTCCCTTCTTCAAGTCATCCCAGTGCTTTTGAATCAAGGCAAAAAAAAAAAAAAAATCACAGTTGAAGATCCTTTCCAAAAACATTTTCATTGTCCTAAGATGGGGAAGATGAAGCTCACGATATTGCATGGGAATACGTGACAGAAACTCCATGTTTGGTTCAGTGTGTGAGAAAGGAATTTGGAATGGATTTCTGTAAGTTACCAACACTGTGACGGGGAGACAGTTGATGAAACTGATCTTCATGAGGATCAGTAATTCTCACCAAACACTGCTCAGGCCCTCCCCATTCCATAAGGTGCCCTCGAGGCTGCAAGAGCTCCGGGCCAGCAAGGGAGCAATAGCCAGCAACAAGGTAAAACCATTTGCTGTCCATCCACGCTAGGGTCCCAGGGGCCATGGGACCCACTGAAGGCTGCTCTCACATGGCTGAATCATGAACATGATTCGGCCTTACCTGAAAGTCTTAGGAGACCTTGTATTCCCAAAGGAATTACAAAAGTAGCACACCAGTGACTGCTCTTAACCCCACCCATCAGAAGAAGGCACCATTCTTCTTACATGGCCAAGTGGTTACATGTCCACATGAACAGAGAAAGTACAAGAAGAAAAGGCTAGCCGAAGTCAACATTCAGATCAACAGAGGCGTCTGCCAACTGTTGAGTCCCTACTTATTCATCAGGAAATACAAACGGTTTCAAAACATCTTTATATCTTCAGGGGAAGAATATTTAAAAAAAAAAAAAAGAAAGAAAGCAATGACAACAACAAGAAACTTCGACTAGAAGAATTTTCCAGGTTTCCAGTCCCTCTATTATCTGTTCTTGTGTAGAGCCAGAAAAAATACTGTCACAAAGTTAAGAGAATAACAGCCTTTGTTTATGTCTGAATGAATTTGTGCCAGAATAGTAAATATGCTATTGTCTTTTGTTTTTGTCTTCGGTGAAAGTGGGGGAGAAAGTCTAGACAATGGCAGAAGCAGGGGGGCACATGCATAGGAATGCCATTCTGGGAGGTTGAAGTCTCACTGGGATACAAATTATTTTCACAGCCACTAACTATAGTCAGGGCTCTGGAGCAAAATAATTCCCACTCTTGACATCAACTCTGGAAGCATCTAAGGGAAAAAGCACACATTGTCTTTCATGCCCATTGCTTGTTTAAGCAATATAAATCAAAATGCTTATTCCCAAGAGATAAGAAGGACCTTGTCACAATGCCCTGCACAGAGTAGCCCCTCTATCACCATTTGGTTTCTTTCCTCCTTATTTCTGTTTAACTCCATCAGGCAAAAATATTTTCCCTAAAAGAGACACAACAATGTTCAAAAATGCCATTTTGAGGGCCAGGATAAATAAACTTTGCAGAGAAGTTTCAGATGTAGGCTTTTGTTTCCAGAACTAGAGGTAGTGCCAAGGAGTGACTTACGGGACTTCAGTCCCCAGTAATCTCCATCAATCCTCAGAACCCCATCAGAATATATTAACTCTTCAAATAAAAGCAGCCATGTTGTTATAAAATCTAGCTGCAAGAGAAGTTTCCTTCCTGCCAGGCTGAAACCCTGAAGGCACTCCCTCATCGATACTGGGGTGCCGCCACTGTCCAAAATCATTACCTAATCAAAGTACCATTTACTTTCCCTTCTATTAGAGGAAGCAAAGCCAAGTAGAAAGAATAAATCTTGGCAGCTGGGCAGGCCTGGGTTTAAATACCAGCCCCTTTATTCATTAATGGAAGAGTTTAGGGAAATACTAAACCTAAATCTGAAACTGCCCTCATGTAAAAGGCACTGAGATTACCCAGTGAACCTGGAGACACAAATCTCAGTACGCTGATGTCAGGACCAGGCAAGATGATCTCCATACAGCACCCGGCACATGTTAGCACCAAGTGATTGCCCAGCACATAGCTCCCTGCACCAGCACTATCCTCCCTCCTTCGTTTTACTGATTCAAAATCCCTGACATTATGGGATCTCCTCTGTTAAGGTAGAAAAAGAGAAAAAATGGCTGAAAAACAACATCATGGCTATAACAGCAGTGGGGATTATATTTTGAGGAGTGTTCATACATCCGCAAGCAAAGGGATTTTCTCTTTTACGAATGATTTGGAAAATTCAGCATCCTGCATAGAGATCACAGAGTTCTAGGAATGTGTGTTCTCCCCTTTCAATCTCAGTGAGCTACCAGTTCTGGGCAGAGAGTAAACACCTCTGCTTCTGTTCATCTCTCTTTTCTTTATGCTGCACCCCAGCTAAAGAGTGCTCAGGGAAGAATTATGTTGCCCTCTCCGAGTTGCTATAACAACACTGTTGCCAAAATAGCAGGCACTCTGCAGGAGTCAGAATAGCCTCTTACAGATATTATATGACTTTTGCTCCAGGCACCTCCTCTGTTGCCTGTTAAGGGGCCTGGCTGGGGCGGCCAGGGACCACCAGAGTCACATACTAGCTAAGGAGATGGAGGAGATTGCTGGGCCTCTCACATCCACAGAATCCCAATGGCCTGGGTTTCAGATCTTCTGAAGATTCCTCTCACTATGCGGGAACAAAATGATGCCTTGATACTATTTGGAGAACGATGTAGTGTCTGTTTCATGAAGTTGAGTTCTTTTCCTAAATAATGAGTATTTCAGGGCAGTAAAAAGAATCTTGTCTGGTTCTGAAAATGTATAAACCTGCTACCTGGGAGAAAATAGGAACTAAACCTTCAGATCGAGAGAGGATATTCAAACAGACAATGGCTGGACCACGGATGACCACAGAACTCTGACCTCCAAATTCTACAGCAACCAGTCCAGGGAGCCAGAATGCAACCTGGGCAGCAATCAGCCCAGAATGGGCAGGAATTGATGAACAACTGACAAATTTCCTATTTTTTGTCTCTAGGTCCAACTCAGTATAAGCCAAATATGCTCCCCAAATCGATCACATAAGATGCTCTGCTTCTAATTAGCCTGTCTCCAGCTCCTCTGTGCCAACAACTTCCCATGAGAGCGTATCTGAAGACGTCTCTCTTTTTTAAAGATGTATTTATTTGAAAGAGAGAGAGAGAGAGAGAATGAGCACACGCGTGTGCACATGCGCACAAGTGGGGGAAGGGCAGAGGAACAGAATCCTCAAGCAGACTCCCTGCTGAGTGCAGAACCCTAAGCAGGCTGGATCTCACGACCCTGAGATCATGACCCCAGCCGAAACCAAGAGTCAGAGGCTTAGCTAACAGAGATACCCCTATCCTTCTCTTTTTTTAAGTGAGAAACTTGCCCACTCCCCTGCCTGCTTTTGAGTCTCTGCCAGAGGGAAGTGGTAGAAGCTCACTCTTGCTAGAGCAAACGAATAAATAGCCTGCATTCTCATTTGGGTGTTTTTTTTGCTTACTTCCATAAGATTGACCTGTTTGTTTTTGTTAGATCTAGTGGACTAACAGGATCATATTTTATGATTTGCAAGGCTAAGGACTATGGGAATTTAAGCAATATAATACCACCCTTGAGGCCTCTGGGCAACCTTACAGTCTGCCCAAAATGTGTCCTCAGCGAACTTCCATACTCATCAAACCCATCTCCAACTGTCCTCCTTCCACTTCATAGCTCCAACCACAACACAGAATTGCTTACAGTCACAGAGTGAACGGACCATTCCAGTTTGCCCAGAACTGCCTTGTTTTTAGCATTGAAAGCGCTCTACCCGAGGAAAGCACTCAGCTCCGGGTAAAAGGGACAGTTGGTCACTCAATGAGACTCTCCAGCGTGCCCCAGCGTTCTAAGACTTGGCCACTGCAGATGCAGTTCACTCTGCCAGGAATCTTCTTTCTCACTACTGACAGGAAATCAACCTGGTGAACTCCCCTCAACCTGCCAAGCCCCTGCCTAAACGCCTGCTCCCAGGCTAAGCCTCTTTGACAACGGCCCACCCTCAGGCCCAAGCAGGTGACCTCGCCCTCCTCCATGCCATGCTCCAGCTCCTATATATCCTTGTACGTATCACGTAGCACAGAGCTGATGTGGTTACACAGCGACTTCCTTGCAGGCAGGTGCTGTATCATGTTCCTCTTTGTGTCTCCTCACGATCATCACCATAGCAAGCCAGTGTTTGTCTGTTGTGTGAATAAATGTACTCATGGCTGATTAAATGGCTTAGCTATTATGTATTTACCTATTTCATATAGTTATAATTATTGATTACTGAATTACTGAATATTAACTATTTATTAATAAGTTAAATTGATCCTTACTAAAAAATCCAAAAGCTCTCGAGTGAGCTGAAGGTGGAGCCTATCCATATGCAGAAGTTGGATGCCTCACAGAAAATACAGTCGTCAACCCAGTTCAGTTACCCAGATTATTTACCTACCTCAATCTGTGTGGTGTTGTCCTGCCCATCGTCCAGTAGCAGGTCTGTGAAGCCTCTGGGCTCTGGGGAGTCTTGGCCCATGCTTGCTCGGTTAGAGTCAGCTGCCTTGAGAGAATCCAAGCTTCTTTTCCACCGGTGGCTGAATGCATGTGTGTCCACTTCCATTTCCTCTTCTGCTTGCGGGAAGACCTGAGCAACTTGGTATTGCCCATCTGTTTGAACAAGAAATAAAATAATGAGTTACCACTTGTTAGGAGTCATACACATGCTAACTAATAGAGCAGAACAATAATTTTGCCCCGTCATGAAGATAGGAAACTAACTCCTAACAGGGAAATCTGTTTAATTGTAGTATTTTGAGTTGGGATCAACATCTCTGAGTAGAATGCAATTTTAATACATGCCATGGCATAAGTCGTGGGAATGGTTAATGTGCAGATCCAGCAGAGTCCCTGAAACAGATGTGCAGCCCTAAAGCAACGCATTTTTATTCTCTCCCCTCCCCGCCCTCCACACACACACTTCATAAACATTCTCTAGTTGTTCTGAGAAAATAAGCTACAATCCAAACAAAGGAACGAAACCTAGTGACTCTTAGCACATTTGAAAAAAAAAAAAGTCAGACGTTATTAACTTGTGAGCGTATATTCCTCTCACACAAGTTCTGCTGCCCAGCAAAGAGGTAACAATGTATTTGAATGTGTTAAAAAATATATGGAATGATCTTTGCGTAAATGTACTAACTGCCTTGTAGCTCACCAGTCAGATTTAGTTCATTGCCTACCTCATTTAATAAGTAACACCCTCAGGAGGCATCACAAAGGCTCTTGTTCATTTGTGCAGTTCTCACCTTGGACTCTTGGCAGGGTGGTGAAGGATGACAGTGATAGGCACTTAGAGAAATGGATGGGAAAGCAAAGAGACCAAATCACACAGGTATTTTAAAGCCATCAGCAGGGACTGGCCTTGTTGACCCAACTCATCCTACTACTACAGGAGGGAAAATAAGATTTAATCATTACTCCTAGTCTTTCATTTCAGTAGGTCAGTAGAAGAAGGTGTATCACAAGTATGGGAAATTCAGTTTCTGACCAAGATGAACAGTCTTCTTGTATGCAACTATTACCCAAAGATATGAATTGACAGCCTTTATAACTGGCAGGATACAGGTTCAAAAAGGGCTAAGAGAGCAGTGATTTAATTATAGCTGTGATGTTGTCTTCAATAGGAGAACATTCCAAGAAACGAAATGTATTTAATGTGACTTATAATACCATTGTATCAGCTACTTAGAACTCTAATAACTAAGTTAAGGCTACCACTACTAATCACACACAAATGATCTAAAATATTTCCCTTTCCGCATCGGGCTCTCTGTTCCTTAGGAGCCTGCTTCTCCCTCTGCCTCTCTCTTTTTCTCTCTGTCTCTCATGAATAAATAAATAAAATCTTAAAAAAAAAAAACGGGCGCCTGGGCGGCTCAGATGGTTGAGCATCTGCCTTCGGCTCAGGTCATGATCCCGGGGTCCTGGGATCGAGTCCTGCATCGGGCTCCCTGTTCCTTGGGAGCCTGCTTCTCCCTTTGCCTCTCTCTCTCTCTCTCTCTGTCTCTCATGAATAAATAAATAAAATCTTAAAAAAATAAAAAA